CGCGGGTGCAGGGTCCCAAGGCTTTGAGCCATCCTTGACTGCTTTCCCAGGCCACAAGCAGGGAGCTGGATGGAAAGTGGAGCTGCCATGATTAGAACCTGTGCCCATATGGGATCCTGGCGCTTTCAAGGCGAGGACTTTAGCCACTAGGCTACCATGCCAGGCCCCTTAAGGCCATTTTTTAATTTTAAAAATTGCTTATTTATTTGAAAAGACAGGGTTAGAGATCCTCCATCCTCTGGCCCACTGCCTGGATGCCCTCAGGGGGTTTGGGGAAGGTCTGAGCCAGGCTGAAGCCAGGAGCCTGGGTCTTCCCTGAGAGTGGCAGGGGCTGAAGCACTTGGGCTAGCTTCTGCTTCTTTTCCAGTCACATTGGTGGGAGAATTGGATTGGAGACAGAGTAGCTGAACCTTAAGCCCATGCTCATATGGAATGTCACATACCCACTGAGCCACAATGCCAGCCCTGAGATCTATTTTAATCAGTCCTTCTTCATGCCTGTCTTCCTGGATGAATATGAAAAAGCGCTTTAGAAAACAAAGTCTTCATAGGACCATAACCCATGTCATCATCCATTTGATGTCTTTTTGATGGTAGGAGCAGTTATTTGAAAATCAAATTATGTAACGGAGCAAGAGAGGAAGCAGTATGTTGCCTTTGTTTTGATTTTTGTTTCTGTGATTTCAGAAAATAAGGTAAAGGATTGAGGTTCTATAGGCATTTGTTTTTCTTGATATTCATGAGGCGTAAGATCTAAGAAATAAAATGCCTTTAACTGACATGAAGGAACAGTCAAAATTTGATCTCTTCAGTAGGATTCAAAATGAGGTTGATTTTTGCTTGCTTTGCCTCCTTGTTACAATCAGTGTCATTATGAGTAGCACTAAGGGACCTCGAGGAAATGGTCCTGCAGGTTACAGATGAAACCCAGCCTGGCTATGTAGCCTCTTCTGAGTTTCCCACTCAGCTGCAGGGTCCCAACGCTTTGGACCATTCTCCACTGCTTTCCCAGGCCACAAGCAGGGAGCTGGATGAGTAGCGGGGCCACTGAGATTAATACTGGCACCCATATGAGATCCTGGTGTGTTCAAGGTGCCGCTAGGCTATCACACTGGGTCTGTCACGCTAGGCTATCATATCTGGCCCCTCCCTGGATTTTTATTGGAAAGCCAGAGATACAGAGAGGAGGAGAAATGGAGAGGAAGATCTTGTGTCTGATTATTTACTCCCCAAGTGACCACAATGGCTGGAGCTGTGCTGATCCAAACCCAGGAGCCAGGAGTGTCTTCCAGGTTTCCCACACGGGTGCAGGGTCCCAAGGCTTTGGGCTGTCCTTGAATGCTTTCCCAGGCCACAAGAAGGGAGCTGGATGAGAAGTGGGGCTGCTGGGATTAGAACTGGCACCCACATGGGATCCCGGTGTGTTCAAGGTGAGGACTTTAGCCATTAGGCCACCTTATTGGAAAGGCAGATATATAGAGAGGAGAGATAGAGAGGAAGATCCTCTGTCTGATGATTTACTCCCCAAGTGGCAGCAATTGCTGGAGCTGAGCCTATCCAAATCCATGAACTGCTTCTGGAGAACACAGATTTTCCATCCGCTATTTCACTCCCCAAAGTAGCCCAATGGCCACAGCTGAGCCAATCCAAAATGAGGAGCTTCTTCCAGGTCACCCACGTGGGTGCAGAGTCCCAAAGCTTTAGACCATCCTCAACTGCTTTCCCAGGCCTCAGGGGGGGAGCTGGATGGGAAGCAGGCCACAAGAACGGAGTTGGATAGGAAGCTAGGCCACCGGGACATGAACCAGGGCCCACGTGGGATCCTGGCATGTGCAAGGTGAGGACTTTAGCCACTAGGGTGCTGTGCTGGGGTCTCCAAGAAAACTTATGCGAAATTGACCAAGATGGCCAACTAGTGTGAAATGCAGTTACAACCAGAGAGCCTGGGCTCAGACTGGTTGAGCATCATAGCTCTTGAGCTGTGTGACTTCATACTGTTCAACACTTCCATGCCTCAGTTGCCTTTTCTATAAAGGAGAGATAATGTATCTGACTGTATCACAGAGTGGGGAGGTTACATGATGAAAAAACCTCTAATGTCACCTGAAAAATTAAATATACTCATCCTGTCAGCCGTTACTACACTATAGAAAGTGTGTCTCCTTTTGATCCTATTCCACAAACCAGACATGAAGAATAATTTTTCCTATGCCATTCTCCAGTGTGTTTGGAGAACTTAGTCCAAAATATTTTATGTGGTCCAAATATTCCTTCTAGAAATTTACTTGTGATTTTTTAGCATGTTTCTAATAAAGATGTCATTTGATAAAAGAGGAAATGATTTTTTTTTCAGTATAAAAATCTGGATCATAGTCTTCCTACCTCATACACTTGTATTTTTTGCGAACTCTGGATTGCTGTTTTAATGAATTCACTCTATCATTTTACTTCTGCAGTATGAAAAGTGTTTTGGTAACAAAGACCTATCTTTTGGGATTTTTGTAAGGATTGAATGAGATATTGCACATAAGGCATACGTTGAGCTTTCAATACTTGTTGGAGATTTTTTCTTTTGTTTGCTTTAATTACAAATGGCATGAACAAAATGCCAATATAAAAATATGTGAGACGTACATAATGCGTGATTGTTAAGTCTTCACTTGGAATATCCACTTCCCATATCAGAGTGCTTAATTAGAGTTCCTATTGCTCTGTTTCCCATCCAGCTTCCTACTGATATGCACCTTGGAAGACAGTTGCTGATGGCTTGAGTCTTCTGGTCCCTGCGCCTTCTGTGGAAGCCCTGCATGGAGTTCTGGGCTATTGGTTCTTATCTGGTCCCTACCTGGAGGTTGTGGGCATTTGGGAAGTGAACCAAATAAAATGAGAATAATAAGTGTGCCTTGTAAAAGTAGATGAGTGTTCTGCTTGGGGTTTATTTTTCCTGTAAGCGCAAAGTAGCTACCATGAATCAGATCCAACAGAGTGGGTATTTGAAGGGGAGTTGTGTACGTTCCTCCCAGTATACCTCAGCCCTGCCAGACCTCTCCCTTGCCATAGGCTCTCCCCCTCTCTCTGTTCTCATTCAGAGCAGAGTTCTAGTGCAGACACCAGAGGCAATAACAACTTCAATATGCTGTGCTTCCCAAGTGCTGTAATAGAAACAGTTCACATGCATATAGATGTTGCATTGCTTGGAGGAATACGTGCTGGTTCACTCCTGGAGGACTGTAGAGCATGATGCATTTGGGCAAATCCTTCTGTTAGTAATCCTGTAACCAGCATCCTGCAGTGTCCTTTTGCAATCAGATCTCCTCAGCCTCTGGCAGCTCTGGATCTGGTGTCAGTTCCAATAGTTCTTTTCTCAGGTTATGCACATGGCCATGGCTGGCTTCTTCCAGTTTGATCATGACAATGTTGAAGTTCATCCTTGTTGTTGGCGAATATAAGTAGTTTGTTCATAGAAAGTTTATAGATTCAAAGAATGCCTTGACAGTTGGAAAGAGCCTGCGGTAGATCAGAGAGAGGCAGAACCTCCAATTCCACTCAAGCTTCCTGGAAAACCAAAAAAAAAAAAAAAAAAAAAAAAACATGCAAGGTGAGGATTTAGCCACTAGGCTATCGTGCTAGGCCTTTTAAAATTTTAATTGGAAAGACAGATTTACAGAGAGAAGGGGAGACAGAAAGAAGGATTTTCCATCCACCGGTGCACTCCCCAAGCAGCTGCAATGGCCAGAAAAGAGCTGACTCAAAGCCAGGAGCCAAGAGCTTCTTCCAAGTACCAAGTCTTGGGCAATTCTGTACTGCTTTCCCAGGCTACTAGCAGGGAGCTGGATGGGAAGTGAAGCAGCCGGAACATAAAGCAGCACCCATATGGGATCCTGACCATTGCAAGGGGAGAATTTAGTCACTGAGCCATTGCGCTGGGCCCCAAAAGAACAATTCTCCCTGGTTCCAATCTGAGGAGAGTCAGCCAGAGGTGAGGAGGGAGAAAGCAAGCAGGACTGAGTCAGGGCAGGGCGGGGAGGGATTGTGAATGCTGCGAAAGCACTGGACAGCTCAGGGACAGAGCAGCATCGGCCTTGCTTCTGGAAATTGCTGTTGTGTGTCTTTTACAGTATTAAGAAGGTAGGGCTGGGGAAAAAAACATTGGATGATGTTTCTGTGTTTACTTTTTGCTAATTTTAAGCATCATTAAATCTGTTGTATCTGATAAATTATCTTCATGACTGAAAGTCTCCATAAGCATTTTTACAAACTTAACATAATATTTGAAAATGAATTTTGGTAATACTTCCTGTTTGCAATCTGCACTAGTATTTTTGGGATAGAAAAAACTAAGTTAAATTAGGAAGAAATTCCTTGGAAGAAAATCACTTCTTTTTCGTGTCAGGTAAACTTACACAGACTTCTGATCTTTTCTGTGATACCTTAGTGAATGTTTCTCACCCTTAAAAATCATTTACTGCTTATAAAGGGAAGCAAATCATAAAGAAGCCGAATTGTGGTTGTGGAAATTTAAAAAAATTTGTAACTTGAGGCACGAGTCACCCGATAAAGGTTGTGATACACGTTTGTGTATGCTGTAAAGTAAAATATTAAAATACACATTTATTCTTGTTTTCTGTGCCAACAACAATGAAAATTGTGTTGTAAATGTCAGAAAAATTGTGCCTGGAATAGATGTTGTTATAATAGCATCTCCATATCACATATTGGAGTGCCTGGATTCAAGCTCAGGCTCTACTTCCAGTTCCATCTTAAGGCTGACACACACCCCAGAAGGCAGTGAGTGATGGCCGTAGTGCCTGGGTCTTTGTCAGCTGCTCCGGAGTCCTGGATGGTGTTCCTGCCTCTTGGTTTTGACCCTTTTTAGCTATCGGTATTTGGGGAGTCAGCTGACAGATGGAAAGCCTCTCTGTGTCTGTTGCTCCCATAAACAGAATTAAAACATCGTGACGCAACAATCGGAAGGTTTCCCACCTTTGTTTTTTCTTTAGTTTTGCTGCTGGAGAAGATAGAGCATGATGACATCTGCAATAAAACGCTGAAGATCACGGATTTTGGGTTAGCCAGGGAATGGCACAGGACCACCAAGATGAGCGCCGCGGGCACCTATGCGTGGATGGCCCCCGAGGTGATCAGGTCTTCCTTGTTCTCCAAGGGAAGCGATGTCTGGAGGTGAGTGAGCTTTGCTTTAGGCAGGCATCTGTACAGACTGGTTGTTAGGCCCCAATTGATTGGGTCCCAAAGCATTAAGTCATTCTGAGCGAAGCTAGCACAGGCTTTTCTGAAGACTGTTTTATGCTTTTGATTAAGATAACAGTAGTGACAATGGGACAGGTAACTTGAGGGTGAGTTTTTAGTTGTTGTTGTTGTTGGTTTTATTTTGTCATATGATCTTTTTGATGTGAAAACCTTTGTGTTAAGTCTGAGGTTTAGTTAAAACTGGTTGCAGTTTAACTCTGATGCCAAAATTTTGTAAGCCCTAAATAAAATTTAATTTTCACTTTAACAAAATCTGTGATTCCTTATTGGTCACGAACAGTATCACCATAAAAGGAGTTTGAGAACAAAATTGAGACCTATTCCTTCACATCTTAGATTGCATCATGGGAAAAATAACAGCCTGCTGTTTGAAGATGGAGGGGTAGATCTAGTGCCATGTCACATTGTCTTAACTTGTCATTTGTTACAAAGTTGAAGAAGTTAACAACAGGACAACACAAATGTACTGTTAGTTATAATGTGAGGCTTTCCCTGCCTTTATTTTAATGCTCATATAAAATCATGTGTGGCAGATATAAAGATTTATGGAATTATTTGTTACAATACAATTCACATACCACATGGTTTACCTATTTAAACTATATAATTCAAAAGCTTTTGGTATATTAATGGAGTTATAGTATCTGTTGCCATAATCAAACTTTTGAACATTTTGTTCTTCTAAAAGTAAAGTGTACATTCATTATTCATTACTTTTAGTTCCTTCTTCCCTCTTAGTCAACTATTAAGCTACACTCTTTATCTTTAGATTAGCAGCTATTGGACATTTTTAAAATGGAATCTTACAATATGTACTCCTTTGTAACATCTTGTGTCACTCAGCATGTTTGAGTTTCATTCTTATCATAGCATGTATCATCCCTTTGTATTTTCACAGCTAAATAATATTCCCTTGTATGAATATGTCACATTTTGCTTATTCATTCATCCATCCATTGAGGGACATTTGGATTATTTCCACATTTTGCCCAGATTTATGAACAAGTTTTTGTGAGGATATGTGTTCTAAGTTCTCTTGGGTTATACATGTAACAGCAGTGAAATTGCTGGGCTGTATGGTAATTCTGTATATAATCATTTGAAAAACTCCAAACCTGTTTTCAAAAATGGCTGGACCAGTTTCCATTGCCATCATGGTCTGTGAGGGTCCTCATCTTTCATATGTTTGTCACTATTTGTTATTGTCTGATCTTGTTATTCTAACCACCTTTTTAGGCATGAAGTCAATTCTCTTTATGCCCAGTGGCTAAATCCTTAACTTGCACACACTGGAATCCCATATGGGTGCCACTTGGTGTCCCACCTGCTCCACTTCCCTTGCAGCAACCTGCTTGTGGCCTGGGAAAGCAGTAGAGGTGATCCAAAAGCCTCCTGTACCCACGTGGGAGACCTGGAAAAAGCTCCTTGTTTTGGATTGGCTCAGCTGTGACTATTGGGCCACTTTGGGGAGTGAACTAGTGGATGGAAAATCTGTCTCTCCTTCTGTGTAAACCTGCCTTTTAAATAAAGATAAATCTTTTTTAAAAATTCCCACTTTAAGGTGCTTTTTGTTCTTTTGTTTACACAAAGTAAAACTAGGACTGAGAGAGGAAATGTAACTTGCTGTGAATCTATTTTTGAAAAATAAAGTGAGGGTATCTTTATTTAAACCCAGATCTATCAATCAGTAAAGTTTTCTTTTCTTTTAAATCTTTGATGCCCTTGAAATTATTTCCTCAAATTCACACAAGAATTTGAGGCAGAGACTCCTTTCAGTAAAAATACTATAAAATTACTTGCATCTCAAGCTTATTCTCTATATTGAAGATATGATTTATTTATACTGTTTGAGAAACTTTCCAGTTGGGTTGCTGGTACTGTAGTGTCTTGTAGCTAGTTTTTAACGGTTCAAGGACGAGAGCCTCACCCTTTGCTTGATGCATCAGACTCTCTGGTAGTAGCTGAACCTGTTTTTTAAAAATATTAAATGTGCTGTCATTGATTTAATTACAGTGCTTTTTCTTAATGAAAATATCTAATTACACAAGGGAAATTTGTAATCTTTTTAAGAAATTATACTTTAAGAGTCTTAAACTATTGAAATGCATCATAGGTCAACTTTATATTAAACAATATACCTTAAAACTATAGCCATTTTTAGTGCTCCTGCTGTAAACCGTGACATTACAAAGTAGACAAATGTTGTACTGTCAATCATGGTTTATAGCAGTCTTGTCAGTTGCAGAGGAGGATCAGGAAGGAGGGGACAAAGGCTTCTAAATCCAGCCAGAATGTGAATTTTTGAGTCCACACACTCATTGTAGATGTCTCCCTCTAGAAATTATTTGCTTATAATTAATTTTAAATTTTACACAGGGCGATAATTTGCTTCTTTTCAAAAGTAGCTAAGTAGACAAGGGAAGACAAAGGCCAGTGTGGTAATAGTAAAAAATGGTAGCCAGAAGTATAGTACATGATGGGAAGAAGGCATGAAGTACTAAAAAGGGTGAAGGAGGCCCCAGCTTAGAGTCACCTGGGTACAACTCTCCTGGTGAGCACGCTGAATCATACATGGCCACTGCTGAGGAATCGTGCTTTATAACATCCTCATAAACTAGTGTCACGCAGGCAGTGCTGCTGTTTACCTGGTGCTAGGGGCTGGTCACTGGATTTCCCAATTGCCCTCTGCTCCTCCCTTCCCTCCCTTAGAAGTTATTGTACTGCATGATGTCTGTCCTACACATTTAAGCAGATGCTATTAGCTACTTTTTGCAATAGCTCCTACAGATTTTATTTTTATTTTATTATTTTTTTATATGAAAGGCAGAGTTACAGACAGAAGGAGAAACGCAGTCTTCCCAGTGCTGATTGACTCCACACATGGCTCCACAAAAGCAAGGAGCCAGGAGCTTCTTCCGGGTCTCTCACATGAGTGCAGGGTCCCAAGGCTTTGGGGCCTTCCTCCACTGCTCTCCCAGGTCTCAGGCAGGGAGCTGGATGGAAAGTGGAGCAGCTGGGGACTAGAACCAACACATGTATAAATGGGAGGCAGGCACCAGCAGTGAAACCTTAACCTACTCCACCACAGCACTGGCCTCCGGTAACTCTTAGAATAACTCCAATTTTACATATTAGTTAACAAAGGCACGAGATGTTGAGTACCTGGGTCAGGTAATAAAACTAATCAGAAGCAGATTCTAGCCTCAGTTCTGAGATCCAGGCTCACTAGAATTGTAACTCATATGTACTATGCACCTGAATTACCAGGAAAGGGCTGGACCCAGGGTAAGAGAACAGAAAAATGTATATTACGTTTTAGAAATAATTCCATCAAATTAAATTTTTACGAGATAAATCCTCTTGTCTCAGTAATGGTCTATGTTGGAGTTTTTTTCTGCAACCTTTAAGAAGCAAAATTATTGTTTTTGTTTGTTTTAGTTTAGTGATTTTCCAGTGGGATTTTTGTTTTGTTTCTTTTTTCTTTTAATTTATACACATTGTAATGGTTTTCTCTAAGAATGTTTCAGGCCCCAAATCTGTTGGTTCAGTGTGCTTTTTCTTGAAATTGTGATACTGTTTCTACCCATGGGTTCTAATTTACTGACCAGATAATCTGAAACATCAATTTCAATCTATAGCTAATAGTTATAGCATCACAAAATTTACAAATACTACAACATATATAATATATATGCCCTTTTTTAAAATGAGAAATGATTGATTTATTTGAAAGTCAGAGTGACAGAGAAAGATCTTCCACATACTAGTTTACTCTCCAAATGACCTCAACAGGCAGATTGTCTGACCCATTCTGAAGTCAGGAGCCAGGGACTCCATCCTGGTTTTCCACATGTTTTAGGGGCCAATACTGGGAACATCTTCTATTGCCTTCCCAGGTGCATCAACTGGAGGGTGAAACTCAAGCCAACACTCCCATCTGGAATGTTGGTTGTATCCATGCCAAGCTCTGGTTTAACATGCTGCAGCACAGTGCTTGCCCCTTTATTTATCTTTTTTAAAGATTTATTTATTTTTATTGGAAAGTCAGATATACAAAGAGGAAGAGACACAGAGAGGAAGATCTTCCGTTTGCTGATTCATTCCCCAGGTAGTCCCAACAGCCCGTGCTGAGCTGATCCAAAGCCAGGAGCCAAGAGCCTCTTCTGGGTCTCCCATGTGGGTGCAGGGTCCCAAAGCTTTGGGCCATCCTTGACTGCTTTCCCAGGCCACAATCAGGGAGCTGGATGGGAAGCTGGGCCACTGGGATTAAAACCAGTGCCCATATGAATTCTGGCATGCTCAAGGCACGGATTTTAGGCAGTAGGCCACCGCACCTGGCGTGTTCCCTATTGCCTTTAAAACTTTGTCTTTTAAACAAAGCGGTGATTTGATGTTATAGAGCAGATTTCAGTATTATTTTCTGGATCAGTTCGTTGAAGATCAGCTTTAAGGGCTTTGTGACTCAAAGTGCACCTGATGAATAGTAATATCACCAGAACCCCAAATCAGGTGTTCTGCATCAGAATCCTGTAGCCTTTGAGTGGGGCCCTGAACTCCTTCTACTGAGCCCCCAAGTCTTGGATGCAGGGCCTCAGGATCAGGTGCCTCTGCATAGGACCCTTAGGGCACCAGCTGGAGCATCCTCAGGCCCCCTCCATGGGCATGTTCTGTTGTTTTTCACATTCTTTTTCTGAATGTTTTCAGTGTATGGATTGGTCTTGAGTTTAGTAGGCACTAGTGGACATATCTTTATGTGTTAATGTTCTTCACATCTGAGGCTGATGCGAACGTGGAATCATGAGAGTTTCTAGCCTTAGACCGTGGGCTTTTTCTGTTGCATGTGTGGTATCATGATCTCTCTCTCACTCTGTTTTTTTTTCTTTTAACATTTATTTATTTATTTGAAAGTTACAGAGAGAGGGACAGAGATAGAGAACTTCCATGTGTTGGTTCATGTTGTAGATGGCCATGACCCCGCAGTTGAAAACAGGAGCTTCAGTTTCCCACAGGGGCTCAGGTGCTATCGCTAAGGTTTTGCTCAGGTGCTATCGCTAAGGTTTTGCTCAGGTGCTGCAGCAGGAAGGGGAAGTGGAGCAAGCAAGATGGGATCTGGCACTTGTATGGGATACTAGCATCTCAGGCAGTAGCTTTACCTGGCTAAGTCACAGCATCAATCTCTTAATATCAGAAAATAATCATATGAGACTGAGAAAGCAATTCTGTAGACAAATTTAAGCGAGCATTGGTGGCTTTTCTTTTCCTCTGATCATCTTTTACTGTCTTTGTGTGTGTGTGTGTGTGTTTTTAAAGATTTTTATTTATTTTTATACTTGATCTCAGTCTGGAGACTGAGGGGGTGATATCATATTTTAATTTATTTTTATTGGGAAGATTCGCAGAGAGAAAGAGATAGAAAGATCTTCCATCTGCTGGTTCACTCCCCAAATGACTGCAGTAACTGGAGATGAACTGACCCAAAGCAAGGAGCCAGGAGCCAGGAGCTTCTTCTAGGTCTCCCACGCATGGACGAAGGATCCCAAGGTTCTGGGCTTTCCTCTACTGCTTTCCCAGGCTACAAGCAGGGAGCTGGATGGGAAGTGGAGCAGGTGGGGCATGAATCGGCACCCATTTGGGATCTCTGCAGTTGCAAGGGGAGGATTTAGGCATTGAGCTGTCATACTAGGCCCTGATGTGTTTAAAAAACACCTCTAAATATATCATGGAAATGCATGATGCAAGATGATTAAACTGCTTCACATTTCCAACATTTTTTTAAAACCTAAAGATACTGAGATTTTTGGAAGATTAGAATAGTTACATTAATAAGCAGAAATCAAATATGACCGTGTTTTTTTTTAATGTATTCATGGGTTTGAACTTTAAATCAAGTGAAGCCACCTGAAGGGACTAGATTTTTTTTTTCCTGTTAACAGAAGATAATTTGAGTGCAGTTTGTTTTGAAGAAGAATAAAGGAAAATGAGAGAGCTGACTGAAATACTAGAATAGAATAAATGTAATTCACAAGGCTCATTCCTATGTCATTTTAAGTAGAGTTGAATTTTAGGGTATGTTTGAGTCTGTGAGATGGACAGCCTTTGGCACTTTAGCTTCATTTAAAACATTAACCTAGAAATTCTTGGGTGATTTTTCCATTCCTCTGTGACTGCTTTTGCCCTTGAGGAACTGAAGCAGCAGGAGCAGGAATCGGGAATCACGTGTTGGCTATGCATTGCTGTTGTTCCTTGTTTTTCCTTGCATTTCTCCTGACCTTCCTGAATTACAAAAACAAGCGTCAGGTCCATGCTAGGAGGCGTCAGGAAACCCACACTGACTTTTTTGTAGCCTACTAGATAGGGAGAGGCAAGAAAAATAAACAGTTTCCAAAAGAATTTGGAAAATAATTTTATCAACATGATTTCAGCTCAGTCTTCTACGGAGTAACTTGAGAATAGTGTGAGACTGGACTCATCATGGATCCTAACATTCCTTAAGAGGTTTGATTGAAGTGATGAGAGCCTGTGGTAGAAGGAGAAGCATCCCAGTAACCACTTGATCTGAGAGAATGGCGAGCTCTGGACTCTGTTCAGTCCACTTTAAGCTTTCCTGTTCATCAGGCCATTTTAACTCCTGGAATGAATGCCCCTGTGATTTCTTGGAAGATGGGTATCTGTATGGGTTCAGATTGTTAGGTGGAAGAGCACATCTCTCACCTAGGACAGTATCACAGAGGAGCTTTGCTTGGAAAGACGTTTCATCCTAGGATCTGGAGGAGAGTAACTTTGAGTTGATCCCACCAACTTTGCTGGAAGAAAAACTTGATTATGAAAACTTTGCTTTCCAGCTATGGAGTGCTGCTGTGGGAACTGCTGACCGGAGAAGTCCCCTATCGTGGCATTGATGGTCTCGCTGTGGCTTATGGAGTAGCAGTCAATAAGCTTACTTTGCCCATTCCCTCCACCTGCCCTGAGCCGTTTGCCAAGCTCATGAAAGGTATTTGTGCAGCCTTCTTTGTCTGCAGGACCAGGGAAAATCGCTGATTAGAAAGTCCATATTTTTTTTAACCAAGAAATAATTTCTGTGATGCCAGTTTTCAATAGCTTTGAAGAGGTTGTACTATTTAAGGAATTAGAAGGCTTGTCTTTGATCTCAAGAGTAAAGTTTTGGTGAAGTAAGTCACTTAAAAACAGTCCAATTTTATCGGTGACTCATTTATATACAGAACTCAACTGAATGGTCATAAAGTTTTCACCGAGTACACTAGTAGAGTTCAAACACAGTATTGAACTGGCTCCAGATCTGTTCTTTTAAATTTAACCTAATGATCAAAAATGTTTTACAGCCTTAACTGGTGTGCTTTTGCCATGACCTGGTCTATTTGATCCTTATCTTTTAAAAATTAACTCACTCTTTTTTGTAAGTAGCAAGTTGCCTTACTTGATTATTTGGCTATTTCCTAGAACTTCTTTTGTGATTATAACATTTAAACACTGGATTTCTGAAACTGGCTTTTGTATATAGCTCTACATCACATAATCATCAGTCCACAGCTGCCTGAGCCTTGAAACATGGAATTCGTGACAAGATGTGGAAAGCACTTGTGTGTTTTTCACATGTGGTATAATATAGATAGGAATGGCCATATTTAGTGCTATTGTGCATGCCTCTGATATGCACACTAGGTAAAATAAAGCATTTTGAATTGAGCCATAAAATCAGATCTTAAAATCTTCGAAAATGGGTGATACAGACATTGGCTTCTGCTAGAAGGACAAATGTAAAATTGCATTTCTCTTTTATTATTTCAAATATTTGATGGCTGGGGAGAATCTACACTATGCAAGAAGGTGGAATTACTGTGGTTCTTGTCTATTTTAGAATGCTGGGAACAAGACCCTCATATCCGCCCATCATTTGCCTTAATTCTTGAACAGCTGACTGCTATTGAAGGGGCAGTGATGACTGAGATGCCTCAGGAATCATTTCATTCGATGCAAGATGACTGGAAACTGGAAATTCAAGAAATGTTTGATGAGCTGAGAACAAAGGAAAAGGTGAGATTTTTAATTGCATAATGTACTCACAGTTACGACTCTTTTTAGAAACCATGACCCAAGAGCCACCGTTAGCATTATTATAAAATACTCTCATATATTAATGCTTGTTGATTCTTACCTTCCTTCAGTTAAAAAATAAAAATAGAAGGAAGCTTTTTTATTTGGGGAACTTTCAAACAATCAAAAAAGGAGAGACAATAGCTTAACAAACCTTTTGTGCACTAACCAGCTTTTGTCATTATCATTTTGTTCATTTTCTCTTCCCTGGTTATCGTGGTTTTAAAGTAAGTATTTATGTGATAGGCAGAGGGAAAAAGAAAGAGCACCTATTTGGTGGTTAACTCCCTAAACATGCAATCTTTGGACGTGCCATGTTGCCATTGCAGGCTCTAACCAGGTGCCAGGGACTCAATTCAGGTCTCTTGTGTGGATGGCAGGGATCCAGTTACTTGAGCTGTCACCTTCTGCCTGCCAGGATCTACATTAGCAGGAAGCTGGAGTTGAAAGTGGAGCTGAGTCTTCAACACAGGCATTCCAGTAGCAGCTGGATTGCTAGGCCAAGCACCTACCTAACTTTCTCATATTTTTATAAGTAATTTAAGTTAAATGCTAGAATCATGTTGTTTCACCTAAAAGTGCTGCAGCATGCATTTGCAACTGGTGAGCATATTTAAAATAACTTTTATTGGCATATGAAAGAGTAATACATATCTTCCTGTCTTAGGACATGATCCATATCAAAATATCACAAAGCTGTTCATAGTCGCTTTTATAGTTGATTTGGACAGAATTTGTATATGGTCTATGTGTTGCATTTCATTCTGTGTTATAAAATTCCCTGCTAAATGTGTGCTGTGAAATGTTCTGATATTTGTAATATTTTTGTCACAAACTGTACTGTTCCTATTATTGTAATGTAATATAAATAGTTATAGTGATTAAAAAAATTTCTCCTAATCACTTCTTTTTACTTCCAAGATTTTTGCATTGTTGGGGAATCCAGGAGAAGGTGTCAGTTCTAATGTGTCAATTCTAAATGAGTTGTGTTGGATTCATACATTTTGAAGGGAAAAAATAAGCCTGCCTCTTAACCATATGGATGCTGCAGCAATGTTACCACATGCAGAATGAAGCAGAAGTAAAAGTATGGTTGGGCAGTGCAGTGACTTAGTGTGGTCTTTTTTGAATGGCGACAAATACTACTAAAGCGCTCTGAAGGGCTCCTCATTGAATTCACAGTGTGCTCTGTTTTCATAGTATTCACTTATTTATCTAAAAGGTTCTTTATCTATTTGAAAGGCTGAGTTACAGAGAGGTCTTTCAAATGCTGGTTCCCTCCCCAAATGGCGGTAAAGGTCAGGGATGGGCTGGGCCAAAGCCAGGAGCCAGGAACTTCATCCTACTTACCATGCAAGCACCCAAGCACATGGGTCATCTTCAGTTGCTTTCCCAGGTGTTAGCAGGGAGCTGGATTGGAAGTGCAATAGCCAGGACTTGGATCAGTACCCATATGGGATGCCAGTGTCATAGGTGGTAATTTAACCCACTATGCCACAAGGCTGGTCACTTTATGAAATACATTTAATTAAAGACAATTTTGGTGGTACATGAGCATTTTCGTAATCTTGTCTGAAGTGTGTGATTGTTCAGTGATTTAAATTCATCTGTTGTACATAGGTTGTTTGCGGATATGGATATCCGTAACATGATATGCGGAAGTACAACATTGCCAGTTATTGATTATCTAACATAAAATCATAATCTTTCAGAAAGGAATTTTTATGCCTTCTATGCTTGTTGTTTAGTAGAATTCTCTTCAGGCAGGAGGTTTAGTTTGTTTAAGTGTGCTTTTTCTTATTTGTGAATGTTGAATAATGGAATAGTCCACTCCCAGAGTTATAGCTAAGAATCATTTTCCCATGATAAAGTCCCTTACAGTTGCCTAATATGGCTTTGCACTGTCTCATTAAACAGTGAGTGGCATCTCAGGGCCAACGTAATAGTTAAGAACACATAGACATTGACATTCTGCTCCGGTATGGATAAATTTAATAACGGGTAGATTCAAGTAAGTTGCAAGAGAACAGTTACATTATGTTCCACTTGCGTAAATATAAAACATAAAACTATTCCAGCATACAAGAAAGGTTGAAAGTGTAGACAGGGGCAGGCACAAACCAATTTAGTAAGGAACACATTTGCGGACGGCAGGAAGGGGATCTGGGTCCAGTACATGGGTTGTTGAGCAGCCGCGAAGCAGATAGGATCCAAGCCCAGCATCTGTTAAGTATCAGCAATATGCATAGGGGTTTGCCATTCTCTTCTTGTAAATGATTAAGAAATCATAGTTAGAGAGAAAAATGTCAGGCTGCTGAAGTCATTTTTCCATAAATCAGTGGGTCAGTAATTTCACTACATCAGACTTTTCAGTATTTTCTAAGTCTGAAGCCAAGAAACAGCTAAGTGCAGCCCACCACTAATAAAAACAGAATTCATAAGTAACGAATGCTAATCCAGGCTGCCTTGATCAGATCACGCCCACAGCATTCCATGGGATTGCCTGCACCTCCCAAGGAGTGGTGAGGAAGGCTGGGAGCCTACCTGAGCCCCTGGGGAGCAGAGACCTGCATGCCGCAGGTCCCCCAGAGCACTCCAAGGGCTGGAGCATCTCCCACAGGGTAACACTTTCAGTTGCATACGTGTTACTTAAAATGATAAGGAAAAGACTTTCGTTTTAAAAAATACTTCTCCAAACTATTTTTTAGCAGTTGTAAAAGTGCTTAACCACAAATGAACGTATCTGGAGGATTGAAAATACCTTTGAGAGAAACCAAAACTTTGAATCAGAGTTTTAAATTTAGGAGTGATGTTATTAAGCATGAATGACTATGATTTTAGTTCATTGCTTTTAAATATTTATGTATTTAACATGTAATCATACCAGAGAATTCGTTGCTACCATATAGGATGTAAAAATTAAAGCAGGTTTCAAGCTGTGTCAGATTTTTCTCTGTGTTGAGGTTTCTGCTACACTTTTGGTTGTTATTTTTGAGCTGTCCTTTAATGTTGCCCTTTTTCATTTCATTTGATTTTTGTGCTTTGTTCCTTGAAGTAGAGTGTTTAGAGTATTGTGTGAGTCCTCTGACTTACAATTAAAGAGTATCTAATGCTTTTTATTATTTGTTTTTTTGGCCAAAAGGTTGCTAATCGCATCTTTTTGTTAGAATAAAAAGCATAGCAGTGTACGTGCCCTATCTCCCTTTCTTGGTCACTGATTACTGAGGTAGGAGGTGTCCGACTTGGAATTAATGGTCAGTAACTTGGCCATGGTCTGTGTTACTCAGTAAACGGCAGCCTCCGTAGATACCAGGTCCTCCCTAAATTCCTGGCTCCTTATCTCCGGGTGTCTGTCTGTGCGTTCTGTGCCTGCACCTGTCTTTGACCCACTACGCCAGGGCATGTTGGCGTTAATGATTAACAACCACTGCCAGGGAGCTGGGTTTGCCATTACTAGAATGGTCTGTGCCAGGCAATTAAATATCACTGTTAGTAATCTCATCAACCACAAAGAGTTGTTTTGTGTGTTTCATAATTTCTAGGTATTCAAAAGATTCTAATACTGCAGACACCTCCCTACCCCTAGTGTTTTACTTTCTACTGTTTTAAAATTCATTTTCAGCAAAGATTATTGTGTTGCTTTCTTTTTAAGTTGGTCTTTATATATATATATATATATATATATATATATATATATAGTGATGTTGTTGCAAGAGAAATTATTTTAAACTGGAAGCTGGCTTTAAAAACTATTTCTTCCTCAGTAACCATAGTAACCTACAAAATACCAATTGAATTTGCTGCCCTTATCTCATCCTTAGGCCTTTCCATTTGACAATAGCTAATTGGGTTAATATCAGCACTACTGAAAAGTAGTATCTTAACAAAGGTGAATAATACTGAGAAACAGAAAGGTGATTACAACTTCTCCATGTCCCCAGATATACTGCAGTAAAGTCTCCTGTTTATTCAAATTAGAGAAATCAACCGTTAAAAACAGATTATAGAATTATTCTTAATATGTAACTTATTTTTTTTCAAGAAGTAAGTGTAATAAAGAAATACCTGTTTACTCTATAAATAAGATTGAGTTGCCTCATATTAACAAAAGCAAAAGCAATTGATCATCAGGTGATTTAAAGTTATTCCCCTGAGGCTTTACTTATACAAAAAAAAAAAAAAAAAAGAAGAAGATTTCAGTTTGGTGCAATTACCAAAAATTCGGATATAGTTGGAACTGAACAAGACAACTTGCTTGTTCTTAGCCCTTCCACTTTCTCCCATATCTGTCTGATCTTCCTCCCTTCCTCCTTCCTTCTATCCTTCCTTCCGAATTTCTTTCCCTCCTTTTTTCTTTCTCTTTCCTGATTTTTTAAAAAGGTCTTATTTATTTTTATTGGAGAGACGGGTTTATAGAGAAGGAGATACAGAGAAAAAGATCTTCCATCCACTGGTTCACTCGCCAAGTGGCTGCTATGGCTGGAGCTGAGCTGATCGGAAGTCAGGAGCCAGGAGCTTCTTCTGGATATGAACTGGCATCCATGTGGGATCCTGGGTATACAAGGCGAGGATTTTAGCCACTAGGCCACTGTGCCGGGCCCTCCTTTTTTTTTTTTTTAAGATTTATTTATTATTTTTATTGTAAAGGCAGAGTTACAGAGAGAAGAAGAGACAGAGAGACAGATTTTGCTTCTGCTAGTTCACTCTCCAAGTTGCTGCAACAGCTGGAGTTGTGCCGATTTGGAGCCAGGAGCCAGGAACTTCTGCTGGGTCTCCCATGTGGATGCAGGGCCACAAGGCTTTGGGCTGTCCTTCACTGGTTTCCCAGGCCACAAGCAGGCAGCTGGATGGGAAGTGGAGCAGCTGGGATATGAACCAGCTCCAATTGGATACTGGCACATGGCTGATGAGGACTTGAGCCACCAGACCCTTTTCTGATATATATATATATATATATATATATCAGGAATTATATATATATAATCATATATATAATTAAATATTTATTTGCTTATTTGAAAGGCAGAGTTAGAGAGAGCGAAGAAAAAAAAAAAGAGAGAGAGAGGTTTCATGTGCTGGTTAACTCCTCAAATGGCCACAATGGCTACAGCTGGGCCAGGCCCAAACCAGGAGTCTGGAACTCCATCTAGATCTCTCATGTGGTGGTAGGGGCTGAAGCTCTTGGGCCATCCTAAGATACTTTCCCAGGGGCGTTATCAAGGAGCTGAATTGAAAGTGGAGCAGCCAGTGCTCTTCCTGGTGCTCAGATGAAATGCTGGCTTCATAAGCAGTGGCTTTCCTCACTGTACCACAATACCAGACCCTCAGCCCTGCCTCTTCATGTATCAGTGTGTTGAGGGAGGCCCATCGAGAGTCTTGCCTGCTTATATAAAAGAAGAAAATCTGTCCTAACACAGTGCTCAGTGTTCACAGATCACAGCTCTACCAGAGAAAGGATCCACAGCCACTAACAAAGTATAGCATCCTTTACAGAAATGGAGTAAGAATGCTCACTTACAGGCTGGGTATCCACGTTCTGTGTTGGAGAGCCTGAGTTCCAGTTCCACCTCTGCTTTCTTTTCTGCTTCTTTCCTGTAGAGGTAGCAGGTGAAGGCTCAATTACTTGGGTCCCTGCCATCCATGTAGAAGAGCAGGAGGCTCTTGACTGTAGCCCAATGTAATCCTGGCTGCTTCTGGCATTGAACAAGTGAACTTGTGGATGGGAATTCTCTCTCTTTGTCTCTTTCTCTCTGTTTTTCAAATGAAAAATCAAGGAACTTGAAGAATGGGCCTCTATATGATTTTAAAATTCTTTATGGAGTTCTCAAATGTACTTTTAATAACTTTTTTCTAGTAGGAATAAAAGTACTTTTTCTTGATAGACTTTCTAGGTCTCAGATTTTTCAATAATTCTAAAAATCAAATTCTGAACTTTTTCTTTAATTGGTAAGATCATGTATTAGCTGTCTCATGAGCTCTCTTGTCAAGTGATATTTTCCATACATTCCACATTTTAGTGGAATTCTGAGAAGTTCCTTGTCACTGAATTTACTTTTTTTTTTTTTTGCTTATTATTCCAGATGTTTTAATTGCTGACAGGCTTTTAGTGGACAAGCATTACATTAGCTTTGTTTCCCTTGGTGTTTTCACCAAGATATTATAATAGCCATAACAGCTGGAGCTGGGCCAATCTGAAATCAGGAGCCTGGAATTCCATCTAGTCTTCCACAAAAAGGACCAGAGTTCTTGGATCATTACCTGCTGCTCCCAGGGCACACATTAGTAAGAGGTTGGATTTAGAAGCCGAGCTGGCAATGGAGTCCAGAACTGCACACTGCAGTACGGGAGTGTGCATACCCCTCAGGTACATTTGCTATGTCAGGATATCCTAATGGCCACAGATAGGAGAAAGAACTGTTAAAATCAGGAGTCGTTTGTGATGCCTCCTTTTGAACCAGAAAAGCGACAGAGGAGAATGGAGCCTGTGTGGAGGTTTGGGTTTCATCCAGGTTAATACAATGCTAAAAGGCTCTAACTGCTTTTCTGTTTTTAAGATACTATTTATTTGAATGTTATTGTGAGGGAGGGATGGAAAGAGGATGTGAAAAGGAGAAAGAGAGAGAGAAAGGTATTCTCCATTTACTGGCTCACTCCCCAAATAGCAGCCAGGGTTGGGACTATGCAAAAATACCTCTCCCATGGGTACCTTCCACATGGGTACAGGGGCCCAAGCACTTGAGCTGTCTTCTACTATTTTCCAAGCACATTAGCAAGGAGCTGGATCAGAAATGCAACAGCTTGGGCATTAACCAACACCCATATGGGAAGCCAGCATCACAGGTGGCATGTTTACCCACGTCTTAGCCCTTGCTTGCCCTAACTAACAGAGTGCCCTCTTAGGACTGGAATGACCAGGGAGTGGAGCAGCTTCTGTCCATGCATGGGAACCCAGTGGCTGAAAGAAGGAAGGGGCAAAAGCCTGTTGCCATGGACTCAGGTCTTTTTTTTTTTTTTAAGATTTTTTTTTTTATTATTTTTTTATTGGAAAGGCGGATATACAGAGAGGAGAGACAGAGAGGAAGATCTTCTGTCTGATGATTCACTCCCCAAGTGAGCGCAACGGTCGATGCTATGCCGATCCAAAGCCAGGAGCCTCTTCCGGGTCTCCCACGCGGGTGCAGGTTCCCAAAGCTTTGGACCGTCCTCAACTGCTTTCCCAGGCCACAGGCAGGGAGCTGGATAGGAAGCGGGGCTGCCGGGATAGAACCGGCGCCCATATGGGATCCCGGGGGTGCAAGGCGAGGACCTTAACCACCGCACCACCGCGCCACCGCGCCGGGCCCGGACTCAGGTCTTTGTAGTGTGTGACCCGAGTGCTGGGCATGTTTGTGTAGGAGCTGCGGTCCAGGGAGGAGGAGCTGACGCGGGCAGCGCTGCAGCAGAAGTCACAGGAAGAGCTGCTGAGACGGCGGGAGCAGCAGCTGGCAGAGCGTGAGATCCACGTGCTGGAGCGGGAGCTGAACATCATGCTCTTCCAGCTCAATCAGGAGAAGCCAAATGTGAAGAAGAGGAAGGGCAAGTTCAAGAGAAGTCGGTTAAAGCTCAAAGACGGACATCGGATCAGCTTGCCTTCAGGTATGATTTGAGTTGTTACTGCATGAAGATGCTTCTGCCTCATCCTTTTTTCTCTCCCGCCTTTGTTGCGTTAATGATGGGAAAGCTGGGGAAGTCGTATTTTAACATAGTGCAGTCGCTGGAATGCCCAGTCTTGGTGCAGGCAGCTATCTGCACATCAGGACTAAGTGACAGTAGATTGCGCAGGAGTGTTTGTTTCTCTGCCTCCTTGTGTACTACTGAGCAGATTCATGTATTGCTGTAGATATCAGAGCCCTGAACGACATTGTGACAGCCCAGGATGCCCGAACTGGTGTTGCTGCGTCATTAACTTGCTTACTTCCACTGGGATCAAGAATGTCCTCTGGTAGCTGAGTTCATCTGGGACAGTGGTGCTATTGTCAGCATCTTCCATAAGATGTACCAAGTTCTTCTGGTATATTCCTGCTTTCAGCTAAGGAACCACAATCTTGAGTTACAAAAATAGTTCAGTCTTTGGGAAGCAACCAAAGCCATGTGTCAAAGATGACTGTATTCCTTTGGTAAGATGGTTAGGAGAAGCTGCATAGAATACAAATGCCCCTACAGTATTTTGTGATTTTTTTTTCTGATGATGGGAGTGTGGGGACAGAACAAGAGCACATAGTGTGTATATTGGTACCTGTGTTTCTGCATAGACAGGCATTGAGAGTGCTCTCTGTGGACTCGAGTGTTTTTCTGCGGTATTTATTGATGCTGTAGAAACTGGATTTAAATAACAGTCATGACAGTTCTGTATTATGTAAAGTATGTCTAAATCGTCTTGCTGGAGGCATGCTATGATGTTTCAGATTATTGTAGATTCCCTTAATTGGCTAGAAGGTTACTGGAATCTTGTGGTTCTAAGTATTCAGAATTTTTTAAAAGACTCATTTTTTTTTTATTGGAAAGTAAGATATACAGAGAGGAAGAGAGACAAAGATCTTCCTTCCATTGATTCACTCCCAAGTGGCCACAACGACCAGAGCTGTGCCGATCTGAAGCCAGGAGCCCACAGCCTCTTCCAGGTCTCCCACATGGGTTCAGGGTCCGAAGACTTTGGGCCATCCTTGATTGCTTTCCCGAGGCCACAAGCAGGGAGCTAAATGGGAAGCGAGGCTGCTGGGACACAAACCAGTACCCGTATGGGATACCGATGCATGCAATGCAAGGACTTTAGCTCCTAGGCTACAGTGCCAGGCCCCAGCATTCAGTATTCTTTTTTGATCGTTTGGTGTGATATGCTGGGTAGAGGCCGTAGGTGCTTTGTGCTTTTTGTCTTCTATCCATCTGGAAAGAGAGAGGGTATTTTCCCAGGTTCTTCTCTGATGTTTGTGTAAGGTGCCAGCTGTTGTGAATGAAAACTAGACTATTTTATTTATGATAGTTCTACTTTTAAGCCTAGATAATAGATAATTTCTTTGTAAAACTTTTTATTGATTTATTTTTAAGGGCGAGTTATCTCTTAAGGCAAAGAATCTTCCGTTTGCTGGTTCACTTCCCAAATGCCTGCAGCAGCCAGTACTGGGCTCAGCTGAAAGCAGGATCCAAGAGCACCATCTGGGTCATCCAGCTTTCTTTGCTGCTCTCCTAGGCACATGAGGAAGGAGTTAGATGGCAAGTGGAATGACCAGGAGGCCAGGCAGTGCCCACATGGGTGCCCCCTGATAGGCAGTGGCTAAAACTACTATGGCACAACACCAACTGCAACAAACTTGTGAGAATGCTGGGTTGAATTTTCTCCTCTGGCACTCAGCCCTATTAGTTGTCTTTTCTCTGTATTGGGACTGCATTATGATAATAGTATGCAGGGTTTCCCTTGGATGCTTGGGAGGAAAGAGTAATAAGAAATCTTAATGGGAAGGAAAGTGAACATACAAAGAAACCAAATCAATAATTCCAATGGTTCTTTCTTCTTCCGTGTAGTGGCTAAATATCTCAGGATTCCTAAGGTCACATTTTTAACAAAAAGATGTATTTTATTTTTATTGCAAAATCAGATATACAGAGAGGAGGAAAGACAGAGAGGACAATCTTCTGTCCGATGATTCACTCTGCAAGTGACTGCAACAGCTGGTGCTGTGCCGATCCAAAGCCAGAGCCAGGAGCTTCCTCCAGATCTCCCACGTGGGTGCAGGATCCCAAGGCTTTGGGCTATCCTTGACTGCTTTCCCAGGCCACAGGCAGGGAGCTGGATGGGAAGTGGAGCTGCCATGATTAGAACTGGTGCCCATACGAAATCCTAGCATGTTCAAGGTGAGGACTTTAGCTGCTAGGCCATTGCGTTGGTCCCCCTAAGGTCACATTTTAACTCTTGGTTTTCTTCTCAAGCATTCCTTGGCTAAACAGACTAAATATGTTAGTTTTTGCCAGATTTTTAAAAATAGTCATTTTGTACTATTTGGATTTATCTCTTTGTGAAAATGGGTGGTGCATTTTAAGAGTAAATATTTATTTAATTGAAAAGCAAAGAGAAGGTGAGAAAGAGACAGAGGGGATCTTATCTGTTGGCTTACTGTGCAAGTGCCTGCAGCAGCCGCGGCTGAGCCAAGCCAGAGCCCAGATCTGAGAATTCACTTGTGATTTTCCTGATGGGTGACAGTGATGCAAGTACTTAAAGCCATCACCTGCTGCTTCACTGGTGCGTACTTGGAAGCTGGAATGAAGAGCAGTGCAGGGACTCAAACCCAGCTCGTCCAATCTGAAATGTGGGTGACTCAAGCAGAGTATTAACTGCTGTGCCAAATGTGTCCTGGAGCAGGATATTTGCATTTTACATTGATTTACTTTGTAATACTCAATAAAAGGTTCCAGCTAATGCAAAACTACAACATTCTCTGTTATTATCCATCATGAAGGAAATGGAACGGTCTTCTGGAATTAGACCTGAGAATTCTTGCCACAAGACGGTGCTGCATTTATTTTACTGTTGAAACTAAACAGTAAAACACTTTTCTCTCATTTGAGGCTTCTAGCTCCTTGCATCCTCCCACACACACCCCTCATAGATTTACTTGTAGAATATCTCAGACTAGCATTGGCATTCAAGAAGGAACATGAGAACTATGGAAATACTTTGTTGCATCCATTATTGTCATCTGCTAGGGAATTCTTTGGGTTATCATGTTCCATTTTTGTATAATACTGTCAGGACAGGCATTTGTCCGGGTGGTTAGGATTCCACTTCAGATAATCACATCCCGTATTGGAATATTGGAGCTCAAGTTGCAGCTGTGTTCCCAGTACCAGCTTCCTGCTATCATACACACTAGGAGGCAGCAGGTGGTAGTGACCCAAGTACTTGGGCCCAAGTATTTGGGCCTCTGCCACCCACTTGGGAAAATCAGGATTGATTCTGAGTTCCTGTCTGTTGTACGCCTTCGAAGAACGAGCCAGTGTTTTGGTGCCCTCTCCTGTGGTGACACCTCCTTGATAGGTAGATGTCCTGCCAGACTTCTTGGACTGCTCATGCAGGGTTTGGCCTTGTACCTAAGTAGCCCAGGGAAAGCTCAGAAGCTCACACAAACTGGTCTCCTGTGTTTGCGCCTACAGATCTTCCAAAAACGTATCAAGTGTAGATAATTAGATTCATTTTTAATTTTGCCATTGAGAATCATTGATGCTTTTTAATCTTAGGAGTATTTGTAACTATGATGGCTTTTGACTAGAAAACCCAAATGCAGTCATGTTTCTGTTGGAATTCTTTCACGGCTGTCCTCTAGATAAGGAAGATTAATGCTTGATATCATCTAAGATCTCTCTCTGTATTTTTTTCTGAAGACTTATTTAGTTTTATTGGGAAGGGAGATCAGATTTATGGAGAGAAGGAAAGACAGAAGGATCTTCCGTCCACTGGTTTATTCTCCAAGTACAGCAATGGCCAGAGATGAGCCAATCCAAAGTCAGGAACCGGGAGTTTCTTCTGGATCTCCTTTGTGGGTGCAGAGTCCCACAGCTTTGAACCATCCTCTACTGCTTTCCTAGGCCATAAGCGCAGAACTGGATGGGGAGTGGAACAGCTGGGACATGAAATGTTACCTATATGGGATCCCGGCAGTTGCAAAGTGAGGATGTAGCCATAGAACAATTGTGATGGGCTCTAGAAACTATATTTTTACACGCTACCTTTGTGATTATGATCATAGTGGAGATTTTTATTCTTTGACCATTTTACTCCCTCTGTGTTGTGTTTGTTTTAGACCAAAGTTATCACGGTAAGGCATCTAAGAACAAGGCAAAAAGAGGATTATAAAGACTCCAAAAGGTGGCATTTGTGTAAACCAGAGGCATGCTAACCTCAAAGACCTGTAAAAATGACCTGCCATGAGGAGAGTGAGAATGAATATGCTCAGAGGGACTGAGCAGATGTCTCACAGAGGTGCTGTGGAGGAAGGCCCACTGGTCTACCCAGGCGATCCTTCCCACCCAGGCCCCTTAGGATTGTTTATGAAGTGTCTCCATTTCCCCTAGGCTTTTGCCTCAAAGCCTGTCACCAGGGAGCAGTTGCCATTAGCAAATAACTTTTAAAGCTTAATTAATTTGAAAGGCAGAGTTTGAGAGAGAGAGAGACAGACAGAGAGAGGTATCTTCTGACTGCTGGTTTAGTCCCTAAATCACAGTAGCCAGGGCTGGACCAGACCAAAGCCAGGAACATGAAATTCCATCCAGGTCTTCCTGTGTGCTGATGGGCTTACTATTCTATTCTCTGCTGCTTGCACAGGCACATTAGTAGGGAGCTGGATCAGAAGCAGAGCAGCTGAGACTCAAAGCAGTGCTCATATGGGATGCAGGAGTTGCATGTGGTGGCTTAATGCACTGCACCATCATGTCTGGCTCAATTTGTCTTTGACACACTATGTCCTAGTTCTTGGACTGCCTTATGCTGTGAACTGAAGGGTCTCTCCTGCTGTGAAAGTTATCAGGGAATTGCTTCTATATGTAACAACAGCTTCTATATGTAACAAAGGCTGGTTAAACCTTTATATGTCGTTTCCATCTAAATAGTTTTCTTTCTTTCATAGACTGTTTCCTCTATACTACTCCAGATCCAGGCCTCACACCCTCCTGATCTGATTTCCTGTGTCTGTTCTGCTTTAGCTGCTATGCCCTGACAGTACTTCCTGGCCTCCACCTAGTGGCTGGAGGACATCTCCCGGCCGATACTTCCCTTCCATTTGCCTTGCCTTCCAGGTCACGTCCTCACTGCTCTCTGCGTCTCAGCAGTTAACTTTAAGCACCAGTTGGATCCTGTAGATAAACCTTGGCACAACTTTCTCATTGAACAAATACTTGAGGCTCTACAGTGTACCAAGTATGAGGGTTTATGATTAAATAAATATGCCCTGTGTACTCAGTGGACTTAAAATTTTAACAAAGAAACTACTAATTCCTCAAAGTTTCTTAAGCTCCTTCTGTGCAAGGTGCTGTCCAGTCTGGAGCTCGACCCGGTCTGACAGCCACTGGAAAGGTTGCTGCCCCTCTGGGTCTGACATTATATTGGGAGGGGCTGACCTTCAGCTGATGATTAAACCAGCGCTCATTTACTTGCTGTAATGATTAACTGCAGGGAGGGAATAGTCATATGACAGTGATTAGCACAGGGATGTAACCTGGCCTAAGGCTTTGTAAAGAAGTAACAGTTCAATTGAGACTTGACCTGGGAAGTTTCCAGACACAGAGGGAGGAGGAGGAGGACAGATGGAGGGCATATTCAGAAAAAGCTGAGTTTTTTCCAGGAAATGAAGACCAGTGCGGTTTTCACCTGGTGTAACAATGAGCCCAATCCTGCTCTGTTATGAACAACTCATGAGTTAAGAATGGTTTTTACACCTGCCAAGACTTGAAGGAAATCCCATGAAGGATAATATTTCATGTCTCCTGACATCATGTGAGATTAAAACTCCGGTACCTGTAAATAGTTTGGTTGAAGACAGTTTGTTTTTGTGGAGTGGAGGGCTGCCTTGTCCCCATATCAGCAGAGCTAGGTAGCTGCAACAGAGGCTATAAGCCCTGCAAGTGCCTAAAATAGCGCTTTAGATCATGGCATGTTGGAGGAATGCTGGCCTTTTGCTTAGAATCCGAGGAGTGGAGAGAGAATAGTTTAGGGTGAGGTTGGAACAGCAGCAGGAATCCTGACTCAGATTTGTAGAAACAGAGGCTGTTCCAGTATCAATGAGAAGCCTTAGAAGGAGTGCAAACCAAGGGTGACACAGTCAGCTATGCACTTTCAAATACACCTGGATGTTGTGAGATAGACTTGAGGGGCCAAATACAGATGCAAGAAGTTGGCCAGAAGGGATTCTAGCATCCTGGCCATGAAATGGTGATGGCAGTATAGATGGAGAGGAGCTAGAATAGCATTTATTACATCCTAAGTCCTTGGTTAATGTCCTCTTCATAGCTATCCTGTGAAATAGGAGTCAGGATGGGGGATCTCCCGACCCCCCATCTTTGTAAACTAATGTATTGAGATTTTAAAAAAAAAGATTTATTTATTTTTATTGGAAAGGCATATTTACAGAGAGAAAGAGAAAGAGAGAGGAAGATCTTGCGTCCACTGGTTCACTTCTCGAGTGATTGCAATGGCTGGAGCTGAGCCAATCTGATGGCAGGAGCCAAGAACTTCTTCTGGATCTCCCATGTAGGTTAGGGGTTCAAGGGCTTGCCCCACCCCACATTGCCTTCACATGCATGTTAGCACAGAGCTGGATTGGAAGTGGAGCAGCTGGGGCTTGAATTGGCACCCATATGGGATTCTGGCATTGCAGGCAACGGTTTAACTTGTAACACTACAATATCGAGTCCTAAATAAGCGTTCTATGTGCAGATTCAGATAAGCTGTACAAAGTGATGAAAATGTATTCAAAAGGTGAGAAACTGAGCACACACACACACACACACACACACACACACACACACACACACATACATACCTGTCCTGAATAGTCAGTGGCCAGATTACCTGAAAAGAGAAAGGGTGGGAGAGGGAAAAGGAGGGAGGAACATCTGCATAACACCTCCTTCCTGGTCTGTGGTGGGAGAGAGAGATGGAGAGCCCCTCCAAATTGTGGACCTTCTTTGTGAGAGGGGGTGATGTCTCTATATGCATGAAGCCACCTGGGAATTACATGGCAGTACAGTTCCCTTGTGGAGCTCAATATCCATATTTTTGTGGTGTTTCTCTGTAGCCCCTTTAAATCTTGGATGAAGCATTTGCATCCTGGCTAAAAGGGTCTTTTGATTGACAAATAGGAGCAGAGGGGACCTATGGGGACTTATGATGACATCTACTTCAGCAGACATACTACCTACCTACCTACCTTACCTACCTACCTATTATTAATAGAACTGAGATTCAAATCCAAGATTGTTAACTCTAGAACCTGGAATATAGACATCTTTTGTGTAACTAGAAATATGCATTACAGATTTGTGTGTATTGTTTGCCTGATGGATACTTAGGGACAGGAAGAAGGCGTATTTTCTGATGTCTACCATAAATAATTGGATAGACGATTTTGCCTCCCAAATTCTCACCATGTTCATCTCAGGTACCTAGTGAGTCATTTAAGTTCTTTAAAGTATAATTTCCAAAGAAGTAAATGATAGCTCTCTTGCAAATATGAAATGAATATGTGTCAAAGATTTTATTCAACTCATTCATTAGAGAGGAACCAGATAAAACTGGTTCAGATGAAACTCCGAGGTGTTAGATGCTTCTGGGCAGTTCAATCAAGAAGTGTCAGGATGAGATTGTTGGGTGATACACAGACCGGCTGAGTACTCAGCGTGGCAATCAACCATAACCTTTAGGCCTGTGTTTTTCACCAGACATAAATTATTTGCATCATCACCAGACAAAACCTACAAGTTGATCCCTGTTCCTGATGAGTTGTAAAAATAGATCGGTCAATAGAAAAGCAAAGGTTAAGCTTACATTGTGCTGAAAAGACAGCCGGTAATTTCTTTTGCTGATGTTCAAGTTTAGAATAATTTTCCTAATAGTTTACCACATTTTCCTAAGCTCTGTCATTTTTCCATCTGGTAATATTACTGTTTCTTTCATGTATTCCCGTATTGTAGTAAGACGATGGTAGCTGTTGTTTGTAGAATCCCTTGTCCACACAAGGCTTTTTTACCTACATTTTCTGTTGTTACTGTTGTTGTTTGGTAGAAAGCTAGAGAGAGTAAACAAGCTCATATTTCACTGTTCACTCCATACAGCAGCTAGGGCTGGCCCAGGACAAGAGCCAGAAAATGGGGACATAGTCTGAGTCTCCCACCAGGGTGTCAGGCCCTCAGTCATTTTAGGCATTGCTGTTGTATCTCAGGGTCCACATGAGCAGGCAGCTGAAGTCGTATTCAAACACAGGCACTGCAAAGTGGTGTGCAATATGGAATTCTAATGACCAAAGTAACCCTGTGAAATACTTTCTGCATTTCCCAGGTTTAGAGACAGGCTCAGAAGAGCTCTTGGCTGGGTTAAGGTCCATAGTTTATTGGGCATAAAACCAAGGATTTTGACATTTTGTTTTTTATCTATGACAAATAGCTTGCTGTTACCATTTTCCTCTTAGAAGAATGTGAAATGTCACAAGGATCCGATACTGTTTCATTTCTGTATATGTGTGGGTCTCACTTTACCTACTCTGTAAGCTGTGAATTTGTCATTGATTGGAACCATGAAGTGAAGATAAGAAACCAACATAAGAAACAGAGTCTGCAATACATGTTGTAGCTGTCATCTGGCCTTTTTTGGTTTTATTGCTCTATGCCAAAGATACGGAACGACTTAAAACAATGAAATATCAGTTCTTACCTTTTTTCATGTCCAACAGATTTCCAGCACAAGATAACTGTACAGGCTTCTCCTAACCTGGACAAACGGAGGAGTTTGAACAGCAGTGGGTCCAGTCCGCCCAGCAGCCCCACGATGCTGCCTCGGCTCCGGGCTATCCAGCGTAAGTAGTCACCTGTGCCACAGAGGACTTCTGAGTTCACTTCAATTTCTTGACATGGAATTCAATTAAGCAGATGTGTTTCTGTGACAGGTCGCAAGTAAGCATGTGACATTTAATAGGCACCAACATCTGTTTGGAAAACAACCTGTGGTCTTAAATCGTTTTGTCCCATGTTCTTAATGCTCAGCACCTGTGATTCGATCCTGGGTGCTATGACTGCTCTGGGATTGACGAGGGATTCATCACTTCTTGAGACATTTTGTTAAACAGTTGCATATGAAACTAACCTGAGCCAACAATAACAGAAGTTGCTTATATATGGAGATTTTGAGAGGTGAGCCTAGGAATTTAGGAATACTTTAAATAGTTTGTTCTTAGAGGTATAACTTTAGTCTGCTTTAGGTTTGACCAACATAATACTTCAAAGCCTCAGGTAGTATTTTGGGTTTAGAAAGAATGTTGAGCCCAGAGGACACAATGCATACCACTCATTTTCCTGGCACCAAACCATTTAGTCTGAGATGAAGTAAAGGTAGTGATTTTTTTTTTGAAAGGCAAATCCTGGTTAACAACCCTTCTCACCAGCCCTGGCACGCTGAGCAGAAAGACCGATGAATCTGTATGGAGGTCTACTGCATCTGGTGACGGGCCTCTGTTAACCATAGTCATTGCTCATTGAGAAAATGACCTTTCTCCCTCAAGCTTCCTTTTCTGCCCCTTTACATGCATATGTGGAGAAGACAGCACCTTAAGGGGGCATTTTCTATTGAGGGCTGCACTTGTTTTCTCTTTTGGAGATGAAAACCTGGACCCCAGCTGAGAGATTCACTTTTGTGTTTGGCAAGCTCCTGACAGCAGTCTCCTTGTGACAGGAGGCTGGGATCTAAAGAGGGTGCGGTTCTGGAACTCCAAGCACTGTCATGCCTGTTACCGCTGACGTGTCACTCTGAGACTGTGTTTTCCATAAGCCATACTTTGTACCTTGCCTTTGCCCAGACAGGGTAAGGACTTAGTTTAAGGAGCAGAAATGGGCATTGGGTTTGGTCCCGTGGCTCTGGCACAGCTCAGATGGTCTGTTTGTCCTTGCCCAGCTACTTCTCTACCGTCTCCTCCATTCTCAGTGCCATTATATGCTGCCTTTGGGAATCCCACTGTATGAAAATAGGGAGTGGTTGGGCACGCCAAGATTTGTTTGTGTGATTTTAAGCGAATTCCAGCCCTGTAGCATGGAGACAAGTCCTGCATCTGTTCTCAGGAGTAACACATAGAACATTCCAATCCAGACCTTGCGCACAGGACCAACTTCCCATGCAGAAGCAGAGAATTCACAATCTCTACCCCCAATCGTGGTCATCTTTGTTCTGACCAACATCTTGGGTGCTGCCAAACTGCCTCTTGCTCATGCCGGAGTGAGCCCTTCATAGTGGACTGTGACTGCCAGAGCTACTCTGGGGTTGAGGCCCAATCTGGCCCTACCCCGTGACCTGGGGCAAATTGCTTAACCTCACAGCTCCTCACCCTCTCCTCCTCCCATCCCCCAGATCATAAAGGCAGAAACTTTGTTTCAGTCCTGGCACCTAACACGATTATGACAACAATTAACATCCTACAGTACATACTGTACTGTTGGCACTCTTCTAAGTGGATCCCGTGTACAAATCCATGGACTTCTCATGGTGGCTCATCCAGCTCGATACTCTAGTGATCCCCAGATGAGAAAGAAGACAAAACTCAGAAAATTATTCAATAGTAGTTTAAGTTTTTTTTTTTTTTTTTTTTTTTTTTTTAAGGAAGGTAGAGAGAGAGGGAAAGAGAGAGATCTTCCATGTCTTTGTTCACTTCTCAAATTCCTGCATCTAATAGGCTGGGTCAAGTTGAAGGCAGGAGCTGTGAACTGAGTGTGGATCTCCATGTATGTGGCAGGGACCCAGCTACCTGAGTGATCCACCTGTTGTCCACTGAGTGTGCATGAGCTGGAAGCTGGAATCAGCTGATCATTATTGCAGCCCACACTGAACCCAGGCGTTCTCATGTTGGATGAGAGGGTCTCTGTGGCATCTTAACTCTGTGCGAAAGGCCCAACTGTATTTTCAGATTTCAGAAGACAACTGCAGGCAGTCTGCTGTAATGATTAAACAACATTGTAATGACTAATGAAAAATTAGCCTACATTGTAATTTTAAATATATCTCTGTTTTTCCATTTCAACTAAAATGAAATCTTCATTATTTGAGAATATTGGATAAATAGGTAATTCATCTTTTACTGCCAGTTTACCTCATATTTGTATCTTATATTAATGTGTTCTAATCTTTTTGCTGTTTTTATGCTTCGGGAAAGAAATTTACTACAGAATAAATTAAATAATCCATCTTCATTGTTTTCATGTTTTGGATTAGTAAGTTTTGCAGCTGATTCGATTCATTTAATGTTTTTTTTTTTTTGATGAGGCTGATATTAATAACCCTCTCTATTTAGTGACCTCAGATGAAAGCAATAAGACCTGGGGTAGGAATACAGTCTTTCGACAAGAAGAATTTGAAGATGTCAAAAGGAATTTCAAGAAGAAAGGTTGCACATGGGGACCAAATTCTATTCAAATGAAAGAAAGAACTGATTGCAAAGAAAGGTATGTGTGGGGTGTCTGATGTCCTGTGTGTATTGTGAGACCAGCAAGTACACCTGCATTAACATGGACAAACTCAACTTTCAAAAACCACTACTTGTGTGAATATAAATTTTATTTCTTTTTGATTTTTTAATGATTCATTTATTCTTATTTGGAAGGTAGATTTATTGAGACAAGAGAGAGGGAGAGAGAGATCTTCCATCTACTAGTTCGCTCCCCAGATGGCCACAATGGGCAGAGCTTAGCTGATCCAAAGTTAAGAACCAGGAGCCAAAAACTTCTTCTGGGTCTCCCACATGGGTAGAGAGGCCCAAGGAAGCGAGCCATCCTTTACTGCTTTTCCAGTCTATAAGCAGGGAGCTGGATCTGAAGTGGAGCAGCTGGGACTAAAACTGATATCCGTATGGGATGCTACTGCTGTGCAGAGGGTTAGCCTATTGAGCCACTGTGCCAGCATTGTGAATATTCATCTTCTAGGATGAGTTTATCATTCTGTTATTTAGATAAGTGGTTAAAAAATGTTTCTGCGTTGTGTTACAGTCATATTTATATTTTGTTAGCTCTTCAGGACTCACAGGACAGCTATGTTCTCTTTATAGCCTTGAGACTCATGTTGACCCAAATCTACTAAACCCTTGTTTGTATATTCTTTGGTTCTGTTGTATGAAATCAAACCTCTTTCTCTTACAGGATCAGACCTCTCTCGGATGGTCACAGTCCTTGGTCAACTCTTTTAATAAAAAGTCAGAAAACCACACCTTTAGACTCACTCTTTGTGGACCAGCCAGGTAAATGTGCTTCAGGAAGTGGTCTGTGTTTGATGTGTTCTTGGTGGCTTTGCTTTTAAAGCTTTTGCTCCTGTGGTCACTGCAGGAGCACAGGGTTAGGGAGTGAGCGACAGCACTCCTTGCAGCCTCATTTGAGCTTAGAAGTTACTACATAGTCATTGTGGAAGGAAGTCATTAGACGCCACACGTTTTGGAGGGAATTTATAGCTCTTTAGCGGAAAAGTTAGTGCCATAATTGCATAGAACCACGTGAATTTGGAATAGAAGACAGTAAATATGAAAACGCTGTGGCCCCTGGAAGTCCTGCCAAGGTTAAGGGGTGTGGCTTTTGATTATATGCTACCTGTTGACATTCTTGCTTTCCTTCAGGTTCTCAGGCCCTGCCCAGGTGACCTGCTGCAGGTGCAGTGCAGCTCTGTGACTCAGGGTTAGCTGTAGTCAAGGGGACTGACATGCTGATAGAGCTATAAGGAGGAAAAGACACACTTCCCAGGGTGTAGTTAGCACCTGTGTGCCTCACAGCCTCATCATCGTTTCTAGTGGTGGGATCTTGGAGTCTTTTTCTCAAGCCCTCTACCCTGACAAACCTGGGCTACATTGAAAAGGACTCTGTGTGTTCTTCTTTTTTTTCTGCATTTCACAGTATCGTGTAACTGATTTTTACTATCCAGTGTTACTTCAGTGTGTGTGTTTATACTTTCATGTAGGCGCTTGCGAGGAACCAAAACTTCCCCTTGATGGATTAGAACACAGGAAACCAAAGCAACTGAAGCTGCCCAGTCCTGCCTGTGTAGATCTACCTCTTTGGAAAGATGGTCAGAGAGAGAACCCCGTGGAGGCTGACAGCTGGGAGGATGGCACCTGCGCCAGCACTCCTGCCGGCTCTCCTCAGGTGACTCCTACGAACAGCCTGCGGAGACCCCTGCAGAGGAAGAAGACCGAGTCAGCGTTGTTCGGCTGCACGGTGCTGCTGGCGTCCGTGGCCCTGGGACTGGACATCAGAGAGCTCCACAGAGCACCGGCTGCTGAGGACCCGTTGCCCAAAGAAGAAAAGAAAAAGCGAGAGGGACTCTTCCAGCGGGCAACCAAGGCCCGCAGAAGTGCCAGCCCACCCCCAAGGCTGCCGGCTGCAGGCTGGGAGGCCGGCGGTGTGCCCTCTTTCTCGCCACCCACTGCCACGAACCTTTTCCCTGTGTCCTCTCTCTCCACCAAGTGCTTGCTGCAGCCTGAGGGGGAAGATCTGTTTGTGGACAGATCCCCAACATGCCACCCTGAGATACCCACTCCAGGCATTCCCAGAAGTAACCACAAGGTGGCTCCTGTGCCAGGCCTTGTGACTGATCAGAGTGTGTTGAAATCCCTGCCTCCTCCTGTGTTGGGGCAGACACGTGGGAATGTGCCTTATTTTCCTTCAAAAGACAGAGGCTCTTGTCACAGGAGGACCAGGTCGGAGGGAAACCCACTGCACCCCCCATGTAAGTTGTATTAATCGGGGGGGAAATGAGACACTATTGTAGAGCCTAGGATGTGAAATGCTGTAGAGGTGGTTGATGTTTTCCTAGCAATATCTTTTAATCACACAGAATTTGAATTTTACCATCCTCTTCTAGTTTAAATACAGTTTAGGAAATAATGTGGTGTGGCAGGTAAAGCTTCTGCCTATAATGAGGGCATCCCGTTTGGGCACTGGTTCAAGCCCTGGCTGCTTCATTTCTGATCCAGGTCCTTGCTAGCGGTCTGGGGAAAGCAATGAAAGATGGCCCAAAGGCTTGGGCCCCTGCACCCATGTGGGAAACCTAGAAGTTGTTCCTGGCTTCTGCCCAACTGGGCCTTGGCTGTGTAGGCCATAATTGAAGTTCAGCACCTCCAGTATTGCAGAGTGAAGTAGAAAGTGTAGGTGAGAATTATCAACACCTTGTCCCCACCTGTGTTCTAGCGAGGCTAAGTCATGTCGCTGGAACCGAAACTAGCCTTCCAGCTTCCCTGGGGACACCTTGTCTCCTGTGCTTCAGGACTTCCTGCTCTTTTTCCCTGCCCCCTCTCCACATGCATAGGTGGATGCTAGGGTTGAATTCAGCAAGTGTGTGGTATGTGTGTGTACACACATGTGTGCTAGGGCCACCAGCACAAAGCGAGGTGGGCTGGCGGCCCAGTGGACCTCCCTGTGCTGCGGTCCTGGAGCCCGCCAGCCCAAGGGCAGGTGTTGGTAGGGCGTGCTGCTCCTGAGACTCTGCTGGACTCGCAGAGAGCAGCCTTCTCCCCGGCTTTCACACAGCCTCTTGTCTGCATGCTCCTGCGCCCAGAGAAGATACTTGTCAGATTCGACAAGGGGCCGTTCCGATGAGCCCACTCGGTCTCAGTCCCCTTGGTAAAGAACTTATTTGTAAGGAGTGTCGATTGTGGGGTGCTGCAGGTGAGGGCTTGGACATATGAACTCTTATATGGGGGTATGGGTCTGTCCTTGACAAAAGGGGGTGCCTTCTTGATGGGTGATGAACCCTGAGGGCTATGTCAAGATGAAAGAGCTCCAAAGGAAATATTGAATCTTGTAGTAGACGTCTCTGTTTCATTAAACAAGACAGGCTGGCAGCCACCTCTCCATGCACAATAACACATATTGACAGAAATTGTTCTTAAAGCTGTGTTTAATGACTTTCACTCTCTCCATCTTTCCTGCCGCCTCTTTTCTTTTAACGCTATACTTGCACGTGGCATTTTTTTAGGTGCTTGCTTATTGTCTTTAGGCAGTGGTCATTTATAATGGTGGAAGAAGGAGTCCCAGCGTGGTCCTCCTGTTAGAAAGCATTGTTTTATAACCCAGTACTAATGTGCTGTTGTGTTAAAAAGTCAGGTCTTCAGGACAGGCAGGACAAAGGATATAACTGTTATCTTTTTTCAAATTATAATCTAATCTTGCTGTTATACCCAAAAGACTTCTATTGGTTCTAAGTCCACTGATTTTAAAATGATAAAACATATCCTCTTTGAAAAATGGTGACAATAGTCAGTGGCCTTAGCACATCACGGAATGTTCAGTTTTGTTTACAGGTTTAATTCCTGTGGATACCTCGCGGAATGTTTAAGATAGAAAGGAATGTGCACGTGTGTGCCCTAACAATTATAAAAGGTTTATAGTCGTAAGAACTTTTAACTTATTACATGTTAGTTGAGAGCATGGTACAGACAGAGCCTCTGCTGGTTCACTGTCTAGCCTGTCCTTGGAATCTTGGTTTTTGTTTTTTTTTTTTTTTTTTTTTTGAGTCTCACTGAAGTGATCACCTTCGTAATTATTTTTTCTAGAGTTCATTGCCTCTAATTGTCTTTTCTTTCTCAACCAGCCAGTGCTGTGATTATCTCAGCCCCTGGAGTCTTGGAACTGCCGCCACACTCCTCCCCGGGCCCTCCAGCAGCCCCTCTAAGCCGAATCTCCTCACCTGAGAGACACTGTACTGCCGCTGGGCTGCCTCCTCGCCTGAGAGACACAGAGCCCAGCCCTGCTTCGCCTGGAGGCCTAGCAGGTGCACCACAGGCTTGCTCACAGAGGACAGGGGTGCCACCCACACGGGAACCTGCGAGACTGGGCCCTGTGTGTTTCCTCGATGACAGCGCGAGAACTAAACTGCCTATGCCTTGTTTTGTGCCTTCCCTACTGGACGCTGACGTAGAGGGCCAGAGCAGGGACTGCACTGTGCCTCTGTGCAGAATGAACAGCAGACCCCAGCGACCGTCCATCTATGAACTGGAGCAAGAGTTTCTGTCCTAAGTGCCTTATGTTGCTCAAGCATTTCTCCTCTTGAGGTGAACAAACGAAAACAGCTATCTACCTTTGAACTCTCTCATGCTGCTGCATTTCCAAAAGCTGTGGCCTCGTTACTAAGTTAGTAGTGGATGTCCAACTTCTCCAGTCATGTCCCGGGTGGCTTTGTAGCCATCTAGTTTTCTCACTGGATTTGTACCTAGCAACTTGAAGCATAGAACAGTGTAAAACAAGAAATGTGCACCAATGTGAGCTGGTACTGGGTGGAATTACTTAAAGCACACTTTGTTCTGTTGGTTTGCAATTAAAGTGTCATGCAACTTAGTATTTCTGTTTACCTTCTTCCTTCTCTCCTCTTTTTAAAAGTCCTTTTCTGTTACTGGTACAACAGGACACCAAGAAATCACTGTGATTCCTTGACAAATAAGATACTAGACAATAAAAGACAATAAGAGTGTCAACTTAAAAAAAATCTGATGACTGGAATAGCTGTAAAACCTATTTAAAAGCCCAAATTCAACTTTAGGATTATAATGCATAAACATGTTCCCATTCTCACATATATTATGCGATAATATTTTCCTATTGGAGGGTTTACCGAATGTAACTTATAAAATTTTTTATTGATTGTAACATTTTATGCGGTAGAACTCTAAAATAGATCCTTTTTTATGTGTGTGTTTGAATAACTTTATAAACACTGAAATTTGAAATTTGGGTGATTTCCATGTATGGTATAAAACAATTTTTTTTTTCATTCTGTTCTAAAAATGTGAATACCATGTTTCTAAACCTCATGGGATGTATACACAGAGGCGACTGGCAAAGCTTTGTGCTTTTCTGACTCATTCATAAAATCTTAAAAGCACTGATAGGGCTTGACACGGAGCTAAAACTATTCTGAATGTGTATGAACATGCTCATCAAAAATGTTTCCTTCTTGAGTAGCCATTTACTTGGCATTCAGAAGTAGAATAGTTTTTCAGCCTGAAATAGAAATTTTTAAAGACTAAGTCACACATGTCTGGTTCTTTTCACAGACTTCATAAATTACACACTTTCATGCCATCTAATTTTAATTTTACTTTTCTCTATTTGAATGCGTGGCGATTCTAATAATACCAAATATACTTTAGCACTGTCAGCCTGAGAAACAGCTGTCCTGCTGGAACAGAAGTATTTTGGTATTTTACATTTAATTTACTTATGGATAATTGTCAAGCATCTGGTATGATAAGCTGATACAGTGGAAATGACAAGTATAGATTTTTAGAAATGCATTTATAAAGTGGATCTTTGAATAGCAGATTTTTCAATGATCTTAAAATTAATTGCGAATCACTTTTTATAATCATACTTGTATGATACAAATAGACTACTACATAATTGTCTGGGTTTCCTTTGCCTTTGTTGTTTGTTTGGCTTTTTTGTTTGTTTTTTAAAGATTTATTTATTTTTATTGGAAAGGCAGACTTACAGAGAGGAGAGACAAAAAATTCTTCTACTGGTTCACTCTCCAAATGGCCACAATGGTTCGAGCTGAACTGATCTAGAACCAGGAGCCAGGAGCTTCTGTCATGTCTCTCACGCAAGTGCAGGCTTCCAAGGTTTGGGACTATCCTTCATTGATTTTTCAGGCAACAACAGAGAACTAAACCGGAAGTGGAGCAACTAGAATGCAAACCATTGCCAATATGGGGTACTAGTGCTACAAGGTGGAGAATTAGCTAAGTGAGTCATACTGCCAACCCCTTGGGTTTCCTTTGTTAGAACTTTGTAGTTTTCTCTTATCACTAGAACATGAGTATTCAAAAGACAGATATTTAAAGTTTTCCAGAAAATGAAGCACTGTAATCCACACATTTGGTTGATATTTCATTCAGAGTTATACTTTAGTTAAGGTTACCGAGTAACTGAAATGTCAGCAATTTAAAAGCAATCAGGTCTGAATAACTCTCTCACTTCTAATAACAGAGAGGGAAAATTCTATCACTTGGCCATTTTGAAATGTCTTAGTCACTTATTTAGCAGAAATAACCCAGCGATGATGGACGGGCCATGAAGGTTTGTGTTTCATAAACACAGCGTGTCATGCCCTTAAAAAATTGCTGCGTGTTGGATTTCGGCATCAAAATCTCAAGTATTTAATACTTTTGTGTCCCTCTCTGATTTGGCTGCACTTTTGAGCAGCTATTGACTCATGTAGTAATTATTGTATTTGAAAACATAACTGGCTGCTTTATTGTCCATTGGAGGCAAGTAACTCTCAGCCCAAAGTAAAAGACATTGTATGTATCATCAACACGTGAGCAGAACCATGAAGCTATGTCCCCCATCTTCTGCCAAAACTGCCGTGTATGTGGTGCTTGTGCGTGTGTGTGTTCAAGGGGATGTCTGTCTTGTTTCTCTGTCTTCTGTTCCCTTTTGATTTTAGTGGACTCCACGTTATGATGAATTTAGCGTTGAAGCTGTATGAAAAAGATCATTGCTATATGAGGAATCAGCCTTAGATGTTACTGCAGAGTTATGTTTTATTGCAATCTGTTGTATACTTGCGATTTTCTTTGTGAGCAGGATATGGTTATTTATTTTCGTACAGATGGATGAGCTCACTGAGAGATAAATGAAGCTGATTTTTTTTTTGTTTTAGTCTATACTGGGGGTGCTCCCACTGCAGAGATGTAAGGAGTGGACCTGATGTGCTGTATCATGAAGCCTTGTGACTGAAAAAAGATGTTTACATATGTTGTCTATTTTTTTTAATAAACTTTTTTATAGCTGATCTGTTTGCTCAATGGCTTTGATCTGCTCCTGACGATTGTGACTAACTTGTAATGGTTTCCTTTAAGTTGGATACGGCAAAGTACACTAATAAAGATGACCAATGCTTGCAAAGCCAAGTATTTCTCTGCCACATCCATTAAGGTAAAGAGCTCTAAGTGATTTATGAGGTGGAATGCTTCACTTGTGGAATAATAAAATACTGTGTTTCAAATGCTTGGTTGGCATATGCAGAGAACAGGACATTCACGCTGAGTATCTTACAACTCTCGCTGTTCAGGAGGCACACGTATGCTGAGGGCTCATTGTGCCGCAGCCTGCTCATTCTATTGTAACTTTATAGTGTACAAGATGAAGATACTTTACACATGGCCTTTGCAAATAGTTTTTTTTATTATTATTATTAAAATTCTCTTTTTATTATTGGAAAGTCAGATATATAGAAAGGAAGAGACACAGAGAACAAGATTTTCTGTCCCTTATTCACTACCCAAATGGCTGCAATTGTCAATGCTGAGCCGATCCAAAGTCAGGAGCCTCTTCCGGTCTTTCACGTGGGGGCAGGGTCCCAAAGCTTTGGGCCGTCCTCAGCTGCTTTCCCAGGCCACAAGCAGGGAGGGAGCTGGATGGGAAGCAGCGCTGCCAGGATTAGAACCGGCACCCATATGGGATCCCGGTGAGTACAAGGCGAGGTCTTTAGCCACTAGGCCACTGAGTTGGACCCTGTAAATGCTTTCTATAGCTAGCAAGAGAGTCTCGTTCAGTAATGACTTGTGAAGACTAAAAATGTGTGAGCACTAATTTAAGATGAAAACACTGGGGCAGAGTTGGGCAGTGTGGCTGGGACACCACTTGGGATGCCTCCATTCTGCTCTCAGAGTGCCTAGGACTGAATCCTGGTTCGGCTCTCTATTGCAGCTACCCGTGGGTCTATACCCCATGAGGCAGCAGGTGATAGCCTAAGTACTTAGGTTTTTGCCGCTCACCTAGGAGGCCCAGGCTGAGTTTCACGCTCTTTGCTTCTGCCTGACCCAGCTCTCGCTGTTGCCAGCATCTGGGGAGTGAACTAACAGACGGAAGAGTCCCTCTGTCACTCTCTGCCTTTCAAATGAGTAAGTTAAAAAATTCATGGCTCCATATTGAAATGAATAGTGATTCATATAGTGAAATGACTTCCTGTGAAAAGTGAAATAGTCGTAAAACCTGCATATTGGAACAATAATGCAGCAAATGAAATATTCTGCTAGCTTGAAGAATGTGTCCCCCAAAATTGGTATGTTCAAGTCCCAACTCCAAAAGTAATGAGGAGAGGTGATCAGATCCATGGAACCGAGTGGAAGTGGTTAGGACTCGGTGAGAGGGCACTGTCTGGGGAGCAGGGCAGAGGCCCTGCAGACACCAGGCCTTGGACTGTACAGCCCCCAGAACTGTGAGTGCTCATGGGACTCTGTGGAGCTGAGCTATGGAGGGTGGCCCAAGTGTTGGGTCCCTGCACCCACTCGGAAGAATCAGAGGGAACTCTTGGCTCCTGGCTTTGGTCTGGCCCAGGCCTGGCCATTGCGATAACCTTGGGAAGTGAACCAACAGATGGGCAAGCTCGCTCACTCTCCCTCCCCTCGCTTTCTCCTCTTTGTAATTCTTTCTTTAAAAAAAAAAAGATTAATTAATTTTTATTGAAAAGGCAGATATATAGAGAGGAGGAGAAACAGAGAGGAAGATCTTCTGTCAAATGGTTCACTCCCCAAGTGGCTGCAATGTCTGGAGCTGAGCCAATCTGAAGCCAGGAGCCTCTTCCAGGTTTCCCACATGGGTGCAAGGTCCCAAGGCCTTGGGCCGTCCTCAACTGCTTTCCCGGGCCAGAAATAGGGAGCTGGATGGGAAGTGGGGCCGATGGGACTAAAACCGGCGCCCATATGGGATCCTGGCATGTTCAAGGCAAGGACTTTAGCCACTAGGTTACTGCGCTGGGCTGACTTTCAAATAAATCTTTAAAAGACTCAGAGAACAGCAAGCAGTGAATGATCACATCACAATCTCAGATGCTTTCCCTAATTTATTGCGCATCTGTCATGTTTTCTGGGAATTATGCCACTCTCAGGAGCCATTGACACTTAACCCGGAAGTGGGAAGAGAGGCTGAAGGTCACTGTATTGAAACAATCTGCCCAACAGAGTCCCGCTACCCGCACGGTCCCTAGGGGGCGCTGTTAACAGGAAAATCATACC